GGTGATCTATCAATACGAGAACCCGCAACATGTCAGATCGGGGAGGGAGAGGGGCGGGGTGGTTGGGGTGTTTTTCTGAAGGAGGAAGAAACTCGTCGCAGAGTCAGGATGAACCTAGACCGGTTTTAGATCTAGTGGCCCCGCGCTCACACTTGCTGGTTGAAGAGTTTGATCACAAGACTTCTCTCTATTGCCCGGTCATGGCGTAGCTCGCGGCTCATTCCAGTGTGAATCATTTCTATCGCGCGTCGTTGTGCGAGGGGGACAATGAACCTACGTTCATGCCATATTTGTGTCCAATAACATACCCGCTTGAAACAGAGCAACTAAAAATTGCAGGAGTGGAAAAATCACAGGAATTCTAATGCCATTTAATCTGTTGAATAAGAAATTATGTTCAATTTGAGTTCTAACCTAAAACAGGGGAATGAAATATACATGAATTCATGACACAAGTTGGAAAAAACGAAAGATAAGACCACATGTATGATTTCCAGCAAAGTTCCTAGGGATTTTCCAATTCATAAAAAATCTGGTGAAGCATTTCTTTATTCCGAATGATACCATAGGAACTATTTATATAGGTATTTAGTTCTCCCAATTCCTAACTTTTTCCTTTTTTATTAAACGAGGCCTAGAAGTAGGATAGAAAATCATTTTAATTGTTTAAAAAGGTCAGCATTAAAGCTCGTAAGCTCTGGTTAAGCCAGCCGGAAAAAAACGGGTCGCAAGGTGCCGATAACTTTTGCCACTCTGGTTAAGCCACATCTCTGCACCAAAGCTCCCCTGTTTCCGCAAGCTTCAGGCCAAAGGTTCAGGCTGTAGGCAGGTGCGTCGTATAAATACTCTACCATCAAGTAGATTCTGCATGGACCTCCAGCTTTGGGCGCGCGTTCTGGCGCCGCTCCGCAGCTGGCCGGCACGTATGTACGGTGACCAAAAGGGCGACGAGATAAGTAACGCGGGGAAGGAGGCAGCTGCGACCGTGTGGGCCGCAGAGCTGACAAAACCCGGGGTGGAAGTAAGCAAGCAGCATGCAGGGGCACAGCTAGCTCTGCTCGCTCGTAGCTACCCGTTCCTTTCCATCCCAGCCTCGGAACTCGGAGCCCATCGCCCGTCTCGGAAGGATGGCGATGGCTCTGGAAAGCCCAACGTGCCGACGCGCCCGACACAGCCAACGCCAGGAGGCATGCCGCGAGCACGTATAAACAGCGCACGCACATGCGTCTCTCACTCTCTCTCCAGTTAGTAAGGAGCGATGCTGCCTCCCGTTTCGCCACAGCTCCCTCCCCCACGCAACTGTACTATAAAAGTTTCGCTTCCTAGGCTCGGCTGCGGCGGTGTCCGAAGCTGATCTGCGCGGCGCTGCTAGCGCTCGCGGCCGGCGCGCGGCCGGCCGTCTCGGTGGGCTCTCCGGCGCTTTACCGGGAGGTGGAGGTACGTGCGTTTGTCGCTCTCGTTTCATTCGGAGCCGTCAACTTTGCTCTCGTTTCACCATGCCATCTCCATCGATCGTAGTAGCAGCGGCTTCGGCAACCTAACGCCTTTGTTTCACCGCCGTTTCATTCATGTTCGGGGTCGGAACGGCGGGGGAATTCTTGGTGCCCGGCCGGGGGTGATTCTTGTGTAGCACCAGCAGTAAATAAATCTTGAACCGCCTTGGCTGCTGCTTAAGTGCTTATTATATGCTGCGAGGATCCGGTATTCCGGTAGGCTACCTTCTCATCATCTGAATCCTTCGAAATCGTGCAACCGCAAGCCAGTCTGTGCTTGCCTGCACGCGTTGTACTAGTCATAGCAGTTTCGCCTGGGGTGGCCATTGTTGGTGTGATGTGAGCTGAGGCATTCTTCTTCATATGCCCTCGAGAACCGTCGGGTTGCCGCTGAAAAGCGAGCCCGTGTCTTTTCCTTCAGACAGTGAGAAGTCATGTGTTATCATCCGTCGATTCTGTCTGATTCTTCTTTTCCATACCATAGCACCCTGTCTGATTTTTCTTTTCCACACCATCCTAGGGACGTCGGCTCTATCTGATTTTGCTTTTCCATGCCATCAGGTCGACTCTTGTCTGATTAATAACTGTCTTCTTTTTGAGTGAAGTCTGGTATGACATTTTTTATAGAACACGAAGAGTCAGTATGAGATTAGTATCTGTCGCAAAAAAAAAACACTATATTGCTGTATCTCTGGGCCTCTAACAGGCCCACTAGTGCAGGACAAACTCTGGGCCTAGATTCCCTCTAGATGGTCCAGCCCAAAAATAAAAGGTAGACATGCATTTTCACGTGCATGACTGACTTTCTCAAAAAACAAAAAAGAAAGAATGCATGACTGACTTTGCTATTTGTCACCTATCTATTTTTCCATTTTTGATGACACCACCTTTGTCACCTCTCTGAATTGAAGAGCACCGTGTCGTAAGACTCCTTATACTAATCCAACCCCCAAATTAGAAACGGCGATCTTGGCAGCATTAGGCAGTAGCAAACGGCCACACACGGTTTACTCATGTCCTTGTCTCTCACGCTAACGCGCGTAATGCTCAGTCGTCGGTACTGAGGCATCTCGGCGGCGGCAGTTGCCGGCTAGCTATTGAATGAAACCAGCAGACCCCGCGAGTTCGTCTCGTATACCAGGCTTAACTCGCGGCCACGTTTGGCGCTTTGGCAGTACCCTATCTATCCAGTACAAGACGAACTATTTACTACTGTATCTATCTATCTATCTATCTATCTATAGCTCACCGTTTTCTCACGTGAATTTAATAGCTATCTAATGCTTTAATTCATGCTTATCTCTTGCATGCTGCAGGCTATAAATAGAGAGCGTGGCGCACAAGACTGAACCACACACACCACAACCACCAAGCAAGAGCGTACGTAGATAGTGGTGAGGAGAGATAGGATGGCGTCGGAGATGAGCAAGGATGTGAAGTTCTCCGAGGAGGAAGTCACCTCACACCCGCGCGTTCTCGAAGGTGAGGAGCAGGCGGTTGCGCCGGCGCGGCAGTCTTCCATCTTCGCGCTGACGCTGGACGAGCTGCAATACTCGGTGTGCGAGGCAGGGCGCAATTTTGGGTCCATGAACATGGACGAGTTCATGAGCAACATATGGAATGCCGATGAGTTCCAAGCAGCGACCGGCGGTGGCTTGGTGGGCATGGAGGTGGCTCCTGTGGTAGGTGCTGGTGGGGGCGGAGGTGGCCTTGATGCAGGAGGAAGCAACCTAGCCCGGCAGGAGTCGTTCTCCTTGCCTCCCCCGCTGTGCCGGAAGACGGTGGAGGAGGTGTGGGCTGAGATCAACAGGGAGCCACGCCCGGTGCATGCCCAGCCTCAGGCCGCGCGACCCTCACAGCAGCCTCCTGTCCAGCCATCGGTTCCGGCCAACGACCGGCAGGGGACCCTAGGCGAGTTGACATTGGAGCAGTTCCTTGTCAAGGCCGGCGTGGTCCGGGGATCTGGCGCCGGCGGCCAGGCGCCTGTGCCGGTCGGCATGGTCCATGGACAGATGAACCCCGCACAACAGGGGCAGCAGCCTGGCCCAATGATGTACCCAATTGCACCAGCCAATGGCATGTTCCCGGCGATGGGCGACGGCATGGGGTTCATCCCCAATGGGTATGCAGGGATGGTTGTGGTGCCGCCGCCACCACCTCCTCAAGGTGGGGTAGTGGGTATCGTGAGCCCCGGGTCGTCGGACGGGAGGAGCGCCATGACGCAGGCTGACATGATGAACTGCATGGGCGAAGGAGCGATGATGGAGAATGGCGGCACCCGGAAACGCGGTGCCCCAGAGGATCAGTCTTGCGAGAGAAGCATCGAGCGCCGCCACCGCCGCATGATCAAGAACCGTGAGTCAGCGGCACGATCGCGTGCTAGGAAGCAGGTACTTACCTTCCTGCCAAAATTGTTGGTTTTTATGCAATGCTATTTCTGTAACGGTGGTAACAATGTTGGTGACACCTACACTACCTGTCTTTCTAAATCCTACAGGCTTATACCGTGGAGCTTGAAGCTGAACTGAACCACCTCAAGGAGGAGAACGCTCGTCTGAAAGCCGAGGAGGTACAGAGCTGCTGACCAGTGAAAACCATGAGAAAATTCAGTTTTCATATGCTTTTCAGATCTTACCATTACTAAATTGTTTCATTGTTTTGTTGCAGAAGACAATTCTGCTGACCAAGAAACAAATGGTATGTACAGTTTCCAACCATCACCTGGCAATCCTCCTACACTCGCCCCACTTGCCAATTGCTTGTAACAAATCCACTATTATTGCTAAGTCTTAAAATAGTCAATGTGTGCATGCTGATGGAAATGCCTTGTGGCGGCGATCTTTTTTTACAGCTGGTGGAGAAAATGATAGAACAGTCCAAAGAGAACGTGAACGCCAAGAAGGGTGCCCCCCTCTCGCGGCACTGCGGCAGCTGCATCTGGTGAAAGGTGACCCGCCATCCAGCTTCCATAGCCGTGCTCGCAGGAGGATGAGGAGGAATTGTGGTGTTTAAGCGGGGTCGTATAGTAATTTACTAGTAGTACCTAAAACCATAAGGACCCGAATGTCAGTGTTTATCTGGTCAAGCAAGTGAACTTTGTTGTTGTTACTGTTCATAGGTATATGGGTTTGTCAGAACTTCAGACAAATGGAACAAAAGAAGATTAGCAATATGTTGATGTGTACTCGCGCTTTAATGTGATGCAATGCATGTGGTCCATTTCTGGTGTGGGGGGGGGGGTTAGAGTTTAGTCACGTAGACGCACTTTACTACATCAGAGAAATTTGAGGCATTCAAATAATTTTTAAATCTAGTGAAATTTGAGCTATTCAAACACGGGATCCCGTGAGCCTTGACAGGTGGTCACCCATCGCCATGCTTGGGTAGTCGATTCCCTTTCCCCTCCGCCACAGCTCGCTGCTTGAGGGTTCGGCTAGCTTTCAGTTGCGCTCTCTGGTTGGCCAACCATGATGGCTATCATCAACCTTTATGTTCTTACGACTGTGTGTATCGGAGGCGAGGGGTGATTCTCCTTTTCTCAGAAAAAATGCTCCTACACTTACCATCATTCGTCAGTTGCTTGCAAGAGCCTAATTGCCCAGTCTTAAAACAGTTAATGTGTGTGTGTGCTGATGGTAACACCCGGTGGCCGTGATTTTTTTTACAGCTGATGAAGAAGATGGAACAGTCAAAGGAGAATGTCAACGCCAAGAAGGGTGACACCCTATCACGGCGCTACGGTAGCTGCATCTAGTGAACGGTGACCCGTCATTCAACTTCCATAGCCGTGCTGGTAGGAGGAGGAGGACTTTAAATCTGGCTGTTTTGTGTGTTTGATGCAACTGCAGCGACATTTTTTTTTGAGGGGAAACTGCAGCGACAATTGTGGTGTTGATAGTAGTTACCTTTTCTACTCAAAAGTGGGGTGATATATTAATTTACTAGTGGTAACTAAAATCCATAAGGACCCATGTATCGGTGTTTTCTGGTCAAGCAAGTAAACTTGTGTTGTTGTTACTGTTTATAGGTGATGACGGGTTTGTTAGAAACTTGAGACAAATGGAATAAAAGAAAATTAGCAATATGTTGATGTGTACTCGGAAAGTCCTCTTCTAATTCTGAGCTCAATTGAGTTCAGGATGAATATTAAATTCAAAAAAATGAAAAAGAAAACTTTAATAAATCTTGAATTTTTTGGGTGTAAAATTTGACAAATGTTCTCAGTGCTTGAAAATTTCATCCTGAAATATCATTCGTGGAAGTCATGGCAAAAGACAACACTCAAAAATGCATTCAAAAATAGCATTTATGGAGTGTCAAATTTTGCTTTTTTACCACGACTTCCAAGAATGTTATTTCGGGATAAAATTTGCAAGCATTGAGAACATTTTTCAAAGTTTGCACTTTTTTTACTTTTTTATATTATTATTCATTAGAGAGCACATGATCTCAGGGCCATACTTTGTGTCATGTGTACTCGCGCTTTAATATGATGCAATGCTATGTGTGTGGTCCATTGTCCGGTGTATGTTGGAGTCTTTGCCTTTGCTATCTTCGGAAGAAGTGAAGATGACACATGAGTTGAGTTTAGTCACATAGGTGCACTTTGTCGAGTAAGTGAAATTTGAGCCATTCAAATAGTTATTAAATACGATGAAATTTTAGCTATTCAAATAAGTGGTCAGACGAAATCCCATGAGAGTTGATAGTAGTTAGCTTTTCTTTTCGGAGCGGCTGCTGGGGAACGTAGCATGCAATTTCAAAAAAATTCCTACGATCACACAAGATCTATCTAGGAGATGCATAGCAACGGGTGGGGAGAGTGTGTCCACGTACCCTCGTAGACCGAAAGTGAAAGTATTAGGTTAACGCGGTTGATGTAGTCGAATGTGTTTGCGATCCAAACGATCAAGTACCGAACGTATGCCACCTCTGAGTTCAACAAACGTTCAGCTTGATGACGTTCCTCAAACTCTTGATTCAGCAGAGGGTTGAGGGAGAGTCTCATCAGCACGACGGTATGGTGACGGTGATGTCATCCGCACAGGGCTTCGCCTAAGCACTACGACGCTATAATCGGAGGAGTAAACTGTGGAGGGGGCCACCACACACGGCTAAGAGAATAACTGTTATGCTTTGGGGTGCCACCCTGCCCCCGTATATAAAGGAGGGAAGGTGGAGGCCGGCGACCAAGTGGACGCACCAAGGGGGGAGTCCTACTAGGACTCCACTCCTAGTAGGATTCACCCCCCTTTTTTCCTTTCTCATCGGAGGGGAAAGGGGAAGGAGAGGGAGAGGGAAAGAGGAAAGGGGGCCGCGCCCCCTCCCCCTTGTCCAATTCGGACTCCCTGGGGGGGCACTCCACCCTGCGGGCTCCCCACTCTATCTCCCCTATGGCCCATGAAGGCCCATTAAGGGCTTCCGGTAACCCCTCGGTACTCTGATAAATATCCGAAACATCTCGAACCAATTCCGGTGTCCGAATATGATCGTCCAATATATCAATCTTTACCTCTCGACCATTTCGAGACTCCTCGTCATGTCCGTGGTCTCATCCGGGACTCCAAACAAACTTCGGTCACCAAAACACATAATTCATAATACAAATCGTCATCGAACGTTAAGCGTGCGGACCCTACGGGTTCGAGAACTATGTAGACATGACTGAGACGTATCTCCGATCAATAACCAATAGCAGAACCTGGATGCTCATATTGGTTCCTACGTATTCTACAAAGATCTTTATCAGTCAAACCGCAATAACAACATACATTATTCCCTTTGTCATCGGTATGTTACTTTCCCACGATTCGATCGTCGGTATCATCATACCTAGTTCAATCTCATTACCGGCAAGTCTCTTTACTCGTTCCGTAATGCATCATCCTGTAACTAACTCATTAGTCACATTGCTTGCAAAGCTTATAGTGATGTGCATTACTGAGAGGGTCCAGAGATACCTCTCCGATACTTGGAGTGACAAATCCTAATCTCGATCTATGCCAACCCAACAAACACCTTCAGAGACACCTGTAGAGCATCTTTATAATCACCCAGTTATGTTGTGACGTTTGATAGCACAAAAGGTGTTCCTCCGGTATTCGGGAGTTGCATAATCTCATAGCCAGAGGAATATGTATAAGTCATGAAGAAAGCAATAACAATAAAACTTAAGGATCATTATGCTAAGCTAACGGATGGGTCATGTCCATCACATCATTCTCTAATGATGTGATCCTGTTCATCAAATGACAACACATATCTATGGTCAGGAAACTTAACCATCTTTGATTAACGAGCTAGTCAAGTAAAGGCATACAAGGGACACTCTGTTTCATCTATATATTCACACATGTACTAAGTTTCCGATTAATACAATTCTAGCATGAATAATAAACATTTATCATGATATAAGGAAATATAAATAACAACTTTATTATTGCCTCTAGGGCATATTTTCTTCAGTCTCACACTTGCACTAGAGTCAATAATCTAGACTACATAGTAATGATTCTAACACCCATGGAGTCTTGGTGCTGATCATGTTTTGCTCATGGAAGAGGCTTAGTCAACGGGTCTGCAACATTCAGATCCGTATGTATTTTGCAAATCTCTGTGTCTCCCTCCTTGACTTGACCGCGGATGGAATTCAAGCGTCTCTTGATGTGTTTGGTTCTCTTTTGAAATCTAGATTCCTTCGCTAAGGCAATTGCTCCAGTATTGTCACAAAAAATTTCATTGGACCCGATGCACTAGGTATTACACCTAGATCGGATATGAACTCCTTCATCCAGACTCCTTCATTCGTTGCTTCCGAAGCAGCTATGTACTCCGCTTCACATGTAGATCCCGCCACAATGCTCTGCTTGGAAGTGCACCAACTAACAGCTCCACCATTCTATATAAATACATATCCGTTTTGTGACTTAGAGTCATCCGGATCAATGTTAAAGCTAGCATCGACGTAACCATTTACGACAAGCTCTTTGTCACCTCCATAAATCAGAAACATATCCTTAGTCCTTTTCAGGTATTTTAGGATGTTCTTGACCGCTATCCAGTGATCCACTCCTGGGTTACTTTGGTACCTCCCTGTTAAACTTATAGAAAGGCACACATCAGGTCTGGTACACAACATTGCATACATGATAGAACCTATGGCCGAGGCATAGGGAATGCCTTTCATTTTCTCTCTATCTATTGTAGTGGTCAGGCATTGAGTCTGACTCAACTTCACACGTTCTAACATAGGCAAGAACCCTTTCTTTGACTGGTCCATTTTGAACTTCTTCAAAACTTTATCAAGGTATGTGCTTTGTGAAAGCCCAATTAAGCGTCTTGATCTATCTCTATAGATCTTGATGCCCAATATGTAAGTAGCTTCACTGAGGTCTTTCATTGAAATATTCTTATTCAATTATCCTTTTATGCTATCCAGAAATTCTGCATTATTTCCAATCAACAATATGTCATCCACATATAATATTAGAAATGCTACAGAGCTCCCACTCACTTTCTTGTAAATACATGCTTCTCCATAAGTCTGTATAAAACCATATGCTTTGATCACACAATCAAAGCGTATATTCCAACTCCGAGAGGCTTGCACCAGTCCATAAATGGATCGCTGGAGCTTGCACACTTTGTTAGTACCTTTAGGATTGACAAAACCTTCTGGTTGCATCATATACAACTCTTCTTTAAGAAATCCATTAAGGAATGCAATTTTGACATCCATTTGCCAAATTTCATAATCATAAAATACGGCAATTGCTAACATGATTCGGACAGAGTTAAGCATCGCTACAGGTGAGAATGTCTCATCGTAGTCAACTCCTTGAACTTGTCGAAATCCTTTTGCAAAAAGTCGAGCTTTGTAGACAGTAACATTACCGCCAGCGTCAGTCTTCTTCTTGAAGATCCATTTATTCTCTATGGCTTGCC